ACATATAATCACATGTGATTAGATGTGTTTAATCACTTATGATTAAAGTTGACAAAGTACAATTACTAAATCGAGAATGTGATAATGAATCTTATCCATATAAATCATATGTGATTAGATACATATAATCACATGTGATTATGTATATTTAATCATATATGATTTATGTAAACAATATTTATTTTTGTGGTTTCGATTAAATAATTGATTATGTGTATTTAATCACATGTAATTATATTTCTATATAATCACATATGATTTGAGGTGGACAAGATTTATTTTTGACTTCTCAATTCAATAGTTGTGCTCCTGTAGTTAATCACATGTGATTATACATATAATTACATGTGATAAAATACATGAGAACAACTATTGAACCGATAAAGCGAAAATGTATTGTGTCCACATAAATCATATGTGATTAGATCTAGATAATCACATGTGATTAGTTGTATTCAATCACATATGTTGAACGTGGATAAAGATTTGTTTTTCTCGTTCTTGATTCAATGTTTGTTATCGTGTATATAGTCACATGTGGTTATATGTATATAATCACATATGATTTATGTAGACAATATTCATTTTTGAACTCTTGATTCAATAGTTGTTCTTTGTCCATTTTAATCAGTTGTGATTTAATACATTTAATCACATATGATTATATGTATCTAATCACATATGATTTATATGCAAAAAACCAATATTCTCTATATAAATCATATGTGATTAAATTTATATAATCATATTTATCAATCACATATGATTTAATCACATTAAATCATATGTGATTAAACGACGTTGTTTAAATGTTAAAATAATCATAGGTGTATCGAGATTTTTGTTGCTATAAAAATTGTGGTTATTTTGATATTTTTAAAATCTTTAATTAATTTAAAAAAATGATTTATAAGACTAATCAATTTTTGAACATGATCTATGCGTAATCAACCAAAAATCTAAACCTAAAATTTTAAAACAAATTAAACTAAAAAGACGAATCAATTTTTAAAGCTAGTTGTTTTTAAAATTATCATAACTAATAAAATAAAGTGGTTATAATTATCCATAGAAGTTTAAACAAACCTTTTTATTAGTCTTGTACATTTGTCATACGTCAGGGTAAAGTGACTTTTTCTTTTCCTTTTAGCATTGATCTGACCTAAGACACCACCTGACCACCAATTTAGTACGCCACCCCTTTATCAGATGTGCTCTCGTTCTAATATCCAAGCTCTTGTCACCGGGTCAACTCGACTCAGTTTAAACTCTTCATCAACAACATAATGAAACAGGTTTCAGGAGGTTCGCTTACTCTGCCTGCAAGATTTTCCTCTCCGATGGCTCCCTTCTCCGACGAAGCTTTCATCTCCGACGAGGTTGGAGAGTCAAATCCTCTAGATCACACTCGTTTTGTACTAGCAAAAACAATGAGAAAAATACCAAAATGTCGCCGATATGGTTGAAGTTGCAGCAATTATTAGTAGCTTTCGATCCTTGTTATCATCTTCTACTCGACTTCTTTCGGAGGAACCAACAGAACGAGAGCTAGAACGATGATTGATGATCGATTGATCGATTAAAGCTGAAGAGCTAGAAGTAATAAGAGTCATTGATTCAAAATTATTTATTATCCCACGCTATTTCATTATCGTACACAGATAAGTTACGCCGGTGACCATTCGTTTTCCGATGAAGCTAAAAAATAGGCTGCGGAGATAGGGCGGAGGAAGTTGAAGATAGAGGAGAGAGAGAGGGATTGAATTTAGGAACTAACCTCAAAGTCGATCTCAAAACCTTTTCGTCGGAGAGAAGAGACGGATTAACGGTGTTTATGCGACTAACGGGAGGAGGCGGTGTTGGGCGTTGGGCATGATCGGAATGGGTTGTCGCTCGTTTTGTGCGTGCGTGAATAAGCAAAGAAAAGGGAATAAATATTTTAAATTAAAAATCAACCCCTCTCTTAATTAAAACATATATGAGCATTTTTTTCATTCAACACATATCTATAAATCTATAAATTTGTTCTCAAATGTTCTCAAGTTTATATATATATATATATATATGCTTGTTTCATTTTCTCTAATGAATCAAAACTTTCGAAAAAATAGTAATGGAAGGTAACGACGATAGTTCATCGTCTGATGATGAGCTTATCAACAATAATTTGTTATCGATATTGTCTCATACTGCACAACTTCTGCAACAGAATAATGTTAGTTCAAGCAACATTCAAAGGAGACACAGAATCCAAAGAGATTGGTTAGAGGCTGATCAACTACTGATCCGACATTACTTTGCGGATGATTCAACCTATACTAATGAGCAATTTCAGAGAAGGTTCCGTATGAGCAAAAGTTTGTTTGTGTGATTTTTTGGTGACCCGGAGATGAATTTACCCTTTTATTCATACCAACCTCTGTAACAATAAATCTATTATCACATTTTTAATGACCAACAAAGCGATTGATTACCACGTTTAATCACAACCAAGGCAGTTTCCATGCTTCCAGAATCTCTTTCCCTACCATCTATTAAAATACTATAACTTGCATCAGGCCTAGGGACAAAAGTGTAAAAATGTGTTAACTTGTCTGTTTTACATTGCAAATCCTTCTTGATTGGATAATTTTGCCCTTGGTAGGAAATAGACCTGGCAATTTCAGACACGAATACACGAATCAGTGAGAGACACGACACGAATACATCTTAAAAATTGAGATAAAGCTTATTTCTCATCGTTTAATCATATCGTGTCAAATTCGTGGCTGACACGTTTTCATGACACGAATACACGAATTGTCAGGTTTAGTAGGAAACAATAACATCAACCTTCTTTGTCTGTGTACCACAGAAATTTGGTTCAAACATTACACTTCAAAAAAAAGAAACAAAACAGAAGTTAATACATTGTAACTAACACCACCAATAGTAATAATATGGAGACTTTATAATGTTAAGCAATTGAAAGAACTTATAAATAAATAAAAAAAGTTAAAAGATTCATATTGGATATATAAAAGATGTGAAAAGACAAACATAGTTCTATTTCATTCTTTCTTTTTTACTGAAAGACCAAAATACCCTTCTTACATGTTGAAACATTACTGTTCTAACAAATTCTCGCACCAAACATTACTGTTCTAACAAATTCTCGCACCAATGCCAAATGAATTAAGATTCTGGTATACACAATTACTTTAGTAATCCCTCTCTAGAAAAGTAGAAAGTTGGAATCAATGATTCCGGAGGTAATTGGATATACCTTCCCAATCTTTACATGCCCAAACCGATTTTCCCCAACCAGATTACTTGATATATCCTACAAAAAAGTCAAAAAAAAAATACATTACATTTTCGTTCTCTTCCATTGTTTTTGAATTCAAAGCACCTGAATAAAAAAATTATTAATAAAATTATGTGCTAATTGTTTTGCAGTTCAACAAATTTCACCTTGCAGATAAGAAACATAAATTGAATTCGTTATTAAAGTCAAAAGATCAAAGGATTGTTGGAATCTGGAAGTTAAATATCAGAAATATAGAAAGACCAAAATGCATGGCAAGTATGCACATACATCATTGATCTATGACAACACTAAACTTACAAATATAAAATATGAAAATCTAGCAGCTGTGAATAGCTTCATAGCTTGTTGTGTTTGTGTAGCATTAAATTATATCATTAAATCTAAACTTGAAAAAAGGAAAAAACTTACATAGAAGAACATGAGATCCATTAGAGACAGGAACTGAAGTTGACATTTAATGCATGAGGTTAGCTTGTGTATGTAGTAATTTATTGAATTTCATTATTTGATCTTTTACTATCAATCTCAGGTGATAAGCTTTGAAAAAATATTGATTTCCTTCTTCAAGCTTCTGCCAAACTGAAACATGAAAGTGTGTCAATCTTGGCATTTTGAAATGTCAAACCTGGCATTTTTACACAAACTTATAAATTTTTACATTTCGTCAAATTTAATATTGGCAAATCACTAAAAAGGCTTCATAACATATACCAAAGTGACAAAAAAAGATAGAACTATGAGTCTTATAGAAAGTACAAAAGCCTGAAAAGGACTTAGAACAGTAACCATGATAACACTTTGTAGTAGGAACCTTGAACTTCACAAGCCTCCAAATACTCCAAGAAAATTGAACTTTAAGTATTTACTTTAATCATGATAGACCTATAGCATAAAAGGAAATCAAAACTTGATTTTGGTGTAAAGATGAGGAAGTATCAATAACAACAACAAAATCCTTTAGAACCTTATTTAGCATGAACAATGAAGATATCCAAAACATATCCAAATCTTAAACCAACATCTAAGCTTTTTCTTAATTGAAGAGTTGGAACTATGTACCTTTAGATTAAAACCATGAGAGGCAAAAACAGATAACTCAGTAGCCCAAACGATAGGCAACGAACTGAACTGTATAAACATAATCAATGCATCATAGTTCAGAATTTGACAAATAAGGGCTATAGAAATATGAACACATATACGGGAAATACAACACCACCGATTCTGACTGTCAAATTCAATGAAAAATAAATAATAGAAAAATACCTAGGCTTTAGAAATTACGGTGAAGTTTTAGGTTGAGGGTGATCTTGGTGGCGGTCTAACCTGTATTTTATTTTGGGAGAAGATTAAGGGCTCCTTCAAGGGAAAGCCACGTGTATATATCTGTAGAAAATATGTACCAGTAGTGGAGAAGGCGGAGGGCAAAATTGACACAGATTCTCCGTCAATCGATGTAGGGCTTACATGACGGATTGCATAGTAGGGTTTGTGGAGCGGTTGGATTGATTCGCTTGGTGGAGATGGTGGCTGGAATTCGGCGATAGAAGTGGCGGGGGTGAGCATCAGCAGAGACGGTGGAGCAGGAGGGAAGATAACGTGAGCGGTGAATGATCGGGAAGTATAGCGGATAGGAAAATGAGATGGAACCAGGTGATAACTGGTGGGTTTCGTATAGTTCCAAGGAATGAAGTCGGTGGGTTGTCTGACAATGAGAAGGTAACACGTGACAGCAATTTCATTCTTATTGGGTTACACAGTACACGTAGCCATCAGTGAAAACAAATAAATAACAAAAACCAAAGCAGAAAATAAAAATAAAATAAAAAGTCAAAAATTCAACCAATAAGATCAAGGTATTGCTTCAAAATTAAACTATATATAATAATAAATATATATAAATTAAATCAAAAAAAAAAGTTAAGGATAAAATAGTCTTTTTAGGTTGAATTCATAAAAAGGTGAAACCATAGGGACAAAAACCGCATCAACTGCCATGTTTGAGGACCGTATGGTTAGAAGATAAAAAGTTGGATCGGGAGTGCATGCAATTTTTCAACAACTAAGGACCATGTCGGAAATTTACTCTAATATAAAACTCGGACAATTTTTGTTTTTCAGTTTAAAAAGGAGATAAAGTGATGACATATATATTATGTTATTCCACAATCATTAAAACAAATGCACTTTTCACCTCTATCATCATGATCCATTGGCTGCAAACATACTCTTTTTTTGGGTAAAGCTACAAGCTTGTTGGAGAAATCTGAGACAAATGAATAACTCATATATAATTAATCAAGAACCATTATTACAGCCTAAAAAGGAGGCTAAAACTTCTTATTATTAACTTGCTTCTTCTGTCATAACAAAGGCAGAGATTTTTTAAAGAAGAAATCTTTTAATCTTTTTAGTTTTGAAGAAAAAATCAAACTTGGCAGACAGTGAGGCAGGTATGAAAGATTGAAACTTTTCACAAACCAGAATCAACAACTTGGATGAGTCAATGGGAAAATTACGTAATTAAATACCCTCAATCCTTATAAATTCAAAGAAATTTGTAGATATGGATATTTTGTTTACACATAATTTTGATGTCATATGCAGGCATGGTAGGGTCAATTGAATATAATGGTCTCTCAAGACAATTGATGTTGTTAAGTGGATTTGCTTTATGTCTTTATCTTCCTCAGCACCTCATTTTAAAATTCCCATTTTTTAACCAAATTCCACAGTAAAAAAGAAAAATCTCAACAAGAAAGTGGTTTCAAGATTACATACCAGCAGTTTTTTTATGCATTTCCACCGACGGCTGGACTATATAATGCAGGAAAAACAAAATTATATAATTTTCAATAACAGGATATTATTCTCAGATGAATGAGTTTATATCGTTAAACTAAAACAGACAAGAAAAAGTAAATTCACATGAATAGTTAGTCTTCTTTTGGAATTGAAAAAACATGTTATAGTTAGAAGTTCAACCATTGAACACCTTCAGATTATGGTTATTTCAAATTTCTTGTAGTTGAAAGTTGAAAACCTTTCAGTACTTTGAACAAAAAGGGGGAAATTAAAAGATAATCTTTCCTCATTCAGGAAGCTAACTTACAGGGCCTACTGTGATTATTAGCGCAAGTGAGAACATGACGATAGGCTTAAATTGAATATACTGATTTAGTGCTAAACCACCTAACTCCCCCTCAGTATTTTACTTCTATTCCAAGCAACCCTTTTTTTATATTCAAATCAAGAATTGTGGGAAGTTTCATATCAGCCATCGGTTTTCATATGAAAAAAGTAAAATAGTAAAATATGCAGGTGAAATTAGTTATCAAAGGGTTTCCATATCTAAGAAGAGGAACAAACTTGATAGAATTTCTTTCATTCAACATAAAAATGTCAAAGCATTGAATATATACTACCAACCACAGACTCCTTTCATTCACTATAAATAAGTACAAGCCATTGCTTCCTTCCATACAAAACCAACTTCTCTCCTTCATCTTCCCAAAATGGCATTTTCTTCACTTCATATTCTCTTCATAGTTTCGGCTTTGATCTTTTCTGTGATAAATCCTGCAGAAAGTGCCACATCAGATGGCCTTTTCATCCATTCTAGAGCAGCATACTACCCAAATTCTGATGACAAAGGATCAGAAAGTGAGAACTCAAACATTATATAAAATACATACGTGTATATATATGATTGTAACCTAATTTGTAATGATTCGAATCTTTGATGATGTTTTGCAGCTGGGAGATGTGGATATGGCTCATTTGGAGCAACGATTAATAATGGATATGTGGCAGCTGCATCTGATCTTTACAGAGATGGTGTAGGCTGTGGTGCTTGCTACCAGGTCATAAACACAACACAGTATATATGTAAACCAAGTTATATTTTATATAACAAATTATTTAATTTTTTTTTTATAAATCATCAGGTGAGGTGCACCAATAGTAAGGTTTGCTCAGATGAAGGAGTGAATGTTGTTATAACTGACCAAGGTTCAAGTGATCGAACAGACTTCATTATGAGCAAGAAAGCCTTCCGGAAGATGGCTCAATCTACAAATGCAGAAACATCTTTACTATCACAAGGAATTGTAGATATTGAATATAGAAGGTAACATGATAATCAAGTGATAAACTTATTTATTTATCTTGTTTATTTTGTGTAAAAAAATATATCAAAAAATCTCCTCATTTCCTCCACAGGGTTTCATGCAATTACCCGAAGAATAACATCACCATCAAGATAGATGAGAGTAGTGACTACCCGTATTACCTTGCTTTTGTCATATGGTACCAACAAGGCCAAAACGACATTACTGCTGTGCAACTATGTGAGGTAATAATTCAAAATCATATATATAAAAAATGTAACAAAATTATTTATCTACATATTTCTCACATGTTAGTTTGCTATTTGTTGTATGTAGACAAAAAATTTCGTTTGTAAACTATTGGATAGAAGCTATGGATCAGTGTTTACAACAACCTCTCCACCTAGTGGATCATTGTCTTTAAGAATGCTATTTAGTGGTGAAGATGGAGACGAAAAATGGGTTGTTCCAGTTAATATAATACCTGAGAATTGGAAGAAAGGGGACATATATGACACAGGGGTACAAGTGGAATAAGAAACTAATTCATCATACCATCAAAATAGCAGAAGTTTGTTATTGGATTGAATTGTAGGATAGTGTTAAGAGATTATCATATATATATTGATGTTGTCGTTATTTATTCTCTTCTTTTTTTGTTTAAAAGTTGTACCAATTTAATTCGTTATCCTGTCCTCTGTAAGAATTGACCAAGCTACAGTAAAAGTGTATCCATTTATTTTAAGCATGTGACAGGTGTACATGTTTGGTTGCCTTCAGATAAAACATAATGAAATAAAGAAATCATTGTCTGGAAATAAGTGGGGGATTAGAAAAAGGTTATTTTAACGGATAAAAATCTTATCTTTTAATATGAGTTGTGGATACAAAAAGTTCTCTTTAAGGCAAAAGCACTGATGTGATGCTTCTCAAATGCAATATCCCTGGGCTAAGGAGCGATCGAGGTAGTCTTTTTTTATTTAGTTTTTAGAACGGCATGCCACCTCACGGCTAAAGTTAGTGGAATTCGAAGCTGGGCAAACCCCATTTGGAGTGGAGTGCTTGAATCCCAAATGTCACCACCGGGCTACCATATGATTCTGGCGGAGTGGTCTTTAACGGAAGTGGTTTCAAGATGTTACGTACTCCAAGCATCATTTGATGTTAAAAAATGACCTATTTTTAGGCTTAGCAATTGAGTAGGGTTTGAGTTGGCGGGTTAGCGGGTCATAATAGATTGACCCAACCCAACTCATATAATATATAGATTGGCGGGTTGGAAACATCAACGCAATCCACGTAACCCGTTTAAGTATATGAGTTTGCGGGTTTGCGGGTCAGTAGGTTATTTTCGGGTAATTTTTCACACGTTAAACTTATACGAATTATACATGTTTCTAAATTAATTAACAATTAACATTTGACATTTACTAGAATGAAATAAACAACCAAATACAAATATAACATAATAACTTAATAAGCAACAACTTGAAGAAAAAAAAAAGTTTCCAAAGTAAAGTCATAAAGTCATAAACTCGCAAACATCCAAAAGAAATTGAAAACATTCATACAAAATGCAATTATGTCGTATATTTCATTGATTCATAAATAATTTTTTTATTTTTTTAAAGTATAATATATATAGTCGGATTGGCAGGTTAACCAGTGAACCCAAATAAGTAACCCAACTCATGAAATAAACGAGTTGGCGGGTCATAAATCTCAACCTAAACTCATTTATTTTCGTGTCGGGTTACGGGTTGGTCGAGGATTGTCACCCCTACTAAAAACTCACACATGATGATCCAAGCCACTTGAACAAATTCTCGCGAGCTAGCTACGAAACCGCTTGGACGATGAGCAACACTTATGGATCCGAGCGACTTCAACTAATTCTAACAAGAATTAAACGAAACCTCTTCGAACCTTGACGGTTTTAGTGACTTATTTGGTTCTTTTAACATAGAGAGTGTAGAGAGGTTGTACAAAATATGAACCCTAGTTCATATTTTCTCCATTTTCCTCTTAAATCACCACAAGATTAGCCCCACATTCTTGTATTTTCTCCTATTCCTTCGCATTGTAAATTTTATTATCACTAGTGGATCTCTCGATGGCCTCCTCCATTGTGGTTTTTCCCGATTTGGGTATTCCATGTAAATCTTCGTGTGCTTATCCCTATTTTTTATTGTTTTACTGATTATTGTTGATTCAAGTCTATATATAAGTGATTTACCTTTGATTGGAGGTGTTATTGTGTATTATCAAGTCATTTGAAGAATTTGGATCATTTAGATAATTTCATTTTGACCTAGTTTATCATTCTTTGGTAAACTTTGTTATTGGCAAAGTGTTTATTGTTCTTTACTCATTAGTTATTAGGGCTTTAGACATAAAAGTCTTTAAGTTTTTCAAGATATGATTGTTTTTGTTCCCGCGATCATTTTAGGTGTGTTAATGTCTGAAGTTTTGTAACATCCCAAAAATACAACCCAAAAAATTCGTTTTCAAAATCATTTAACAAACATGAATATTATCGCCATAGTATAAGATCATAAAACATGTATCTCAAAATCTCATAAAATCTGTTATCATAACACAATCTTATATAAAATATCAGAGTAAACTCCCAGGCTAAGAAAACTGTGGTGTGTGTCATGCC